TAAAAGCCATTTACTTCAACTTCTCTGCAGGGAGCCCGAGGTTTGAAGAGTGACAAATCCTCAAAGAGAGATCAAACGCTAACGTTGAGACCTGAAAAGTACAGATCTTGGAAAACGTGGGACAGAGAGTCTGAAGTACCAATAGGATGAGGCAGCATGTGGGCAGGGGAAAAGAGAGAGATTTGCTCTCACAGCAGAGGACACGGGCTGTATATGAGAGAATGATTCACTCAACAACTGGAAATCAAATACAGGATAGACTTCCTATAGGACTTTGAACAACATATAAAGAACACCCAAGATAGGTTAGATAACTCAAGCAGAAGAACACAGAGATGCAGGATTCACTGCTTTGTCAAAATCTTCCTTTCCTCACCCTAAGGAAAATAACGAGAAATTGCTTTGGCACCCTCACAAAACTTGGATGTCCGTTTACCCTGCTACCACATGCCAGAGAAAACACGAACCGTAAATTCAGGAAATGACTGGGTCGCTGCAAAAAGGTTTGCATCAGCTACTGGAAACCCGGAAGGTAAGCTGGACCGCAAGGTAACATCTGCCAAAGGATAACAGAGAGTCTGAGTTCTTCACCTGCCCTAGAGAACAGGAGACAGCCTACCCAGAGCGAGGGAAGCCAGACCTAGCGTAGCAGGGTGCAAATACCATGGCCCGTGTTGCAGTCTGAATAGCAGAAACGGAGACACAAAAAGGGAAGGGAACTGCAGCAAGGTTGCACAGTAAGTCAGTGGCACAAAGTAGGACTAAAACCCTAAGCTCCACCATCCCACTGAACTGCGAATCTTTAGACCAACTTTACCTCTCTTTTAGTTTATACCGTTCCCTCCGTCCAAAGGATCTTACCGCAGTGACAAACTAGGGCTGAAATTTGTGACGCTGCCTATGTGATTTGGACACTGGACCCCCCCCCGTTCGTTTCAAGTGGGGCATCCAGACCAACAACGCTCTTTTGAAAACCTCATCCTATATGAAGAGCAACCACTTTATAAATCACTAACAAAGAAGAAAAAAAACCAAAAACAAACAAACATAGCAAAACTGATTCATCTGGTCTCTGGAAATTGAATACGGCAGCTGTTTTATCAGCAACACCACCTCTGCACAATATTGTTGGGGAACTAAACTAAACCCAATGGATAGGCTGTCTGACTCAAGGCACTGGCAAAACTCCTTCCTCCTTACAGTAATAATTTTAATTGTTTCAATTATTTCCATCTAATCTCCCTGATAAATGCTTTGAAATTTAAACCCAGCCCAAGGTCCATACGTTATATTAAAAAAAGCAGACAAAAAAACAAGCGGCTACACAGAATTAACAACCTACAATAATTAATTCTAGCACAGGATTTTGGAGGCATCCAACACCCCTCCTGCTCTGCAGTGCTGATAATTTCAAGAATTTCCGTTACTAGGAGGAACAAAAAGCCAATTTTTTCCAATTCACGACACCCTGCCTGCAATGCTCTATTTATGCATTGTCCTTATTATTACAAATCAAATTAGTCAACGCGGCTTCAAGTTTTACCCCTCTTCTCTCAAACATTATCTAGTGCTGTTCCTCAGCTAAACAAACTGTTCTCCTCCTGCGTTGCGGCAACGCAGCACCGGAGCAACTCCGCGCTCCCGGGAGGGGGACGGGGACGCGAGCCCGTGCCAGCACGGCGCAGGCCACCAGCCCACCACTGTGCCAGCGTTTGCCATTAATCTCCGGGAAAACGCAGCAGCCCTTCCCGAAGGGTAAGTGCCAGAGCGAGGGAGCATCAGCATGCGAAGATGCCGGCAAGGGACTCGGGTCAAACTCAGACCTCTTGCAAGGGGAATGGAGACAAAAGGGTGCCGACTTCTCAAGATGACCCAAAACACCAATGATGGGCACAGGGAAGAAAAACACCACAGAACTGCTCCGCTCCGCGAGTTTCCTGAAGATTCCCGGGAAATCTGTTGAGCTGCTGCTGCTAACAGAAAGGGTCCCCCTGAGCTGGCTGAAGGAGGTTGATAATGAATTCACATGCAGTAAATTAGCCCCCGGTTATTTTTACATCAGGCTGCGCGCCTCTGCCTCGGCTCAGACGGAAACACTCTGGGAGCCGAGGATTTCCTCATTTGCTCCCGCAATCTTCTTGCGAGTAGCATTTACGGTATCTGCGAGCTCCAGGCTGTCCATGGAGGAGCTGGTCACCCCGAGTCTCCCTACCCCCGGGGCAGCGGCAGGGAGCTGCAGCAAGCTGCCTCCATCCGGTGCTCCGCAGAGCAAAGCGCTGAGAGACATAACTAGCTACCGGTTGGGATATACTTATTAAATAAAATTAATGCCAGCACATAGAAACAGAATTCCCATCTACTGCCTGAGGGCAGGTGTTTAATGCAGCATTTTATCCCCTTTTCTCTTCTTTCTGGCCTGACATATTTTACCATCTCCAAGTAGTTTAATGCTATACAGACTGCCTATTTCCCTTCTGATGGGTTCTCCCTCCATTTAAAGTCATCTTTTTGCTTGCTCCCCTTGACAGCAGTTCACTATGATTTTATCTTTTCTATTAGGCAGTGACTGCAAAACCTCAGAGGGTTCATTAGGAGTTGGATAATCCCTCTAGATTTATTAGGCTAAATTGCTCACTTCCATCTCTCATCCCCATTTAAATATTACTAATTTCCTTAACCATCTCTTCCATCTGCCCAGGTTTTGCCTGATGTCACCTTTCTTCTTTAACGATCCCTGCCAAAACTCTGGCTAGTTCTGCTGAGAGCTGACCTTTGGGACAAAGCAGTAAAATAAACCAGGGTAAACAGATTTATCTCCTGTGAGAGTGCATATCCGCCAAATTCTTTTCTTTCTAACCTGCAGTTTCACAACTGCAGTACAGGGTTTCAAAGACAAATTTCAGCTCCTGACCCACATACACAAATGCTAACCAAACCCATGCTCAAAACTAGGGCCGGGGTGGGGGGTACTCTAATTTTTATCGTTACTTCCATTGTGGGAGCACCATCCATGAACATGGATGCTGTTGTGCTAGGTGACGTGCAGATCGAAATCCCTTACTATTTGTATTAAAGCAACACCAACAAGTCCAAATTATGAGTTAGGGCCCCCAATTCATTAAGTTAAGTAAAAAATTGGTATCTTCTTTAGAGATGTCACACTCTTCCCGCACAGGTCGTGGGATAGGCAAAGTGGGAAGGAGGCCCTCTCTCCTAAACACGATGGAGCGCGGGAGGTAGGAACCCGGAGCCAGTTGAAAGAGGCTGCGTTTGGGAAGGACTCAGATTGTTCCAAACGTTCCAAATAGTTTCACGTTTTGACCAAGAACGGAGGGGGACAGTCACCGTCATTCACCAGGTCTGTAAGCAGCACCAGCACAGCCACGCTCTCATTTGGGGCTGGGACAGGAGGCAAGAAATGATAAAGCAGCAACAACTGCCTTAACTCAAGTGACCTTAAAACTGGTGACCTTCACATCTCAGGAGCTTAGCTCTACCCTCCTAGTGCCCATCACCGGCTCAACCCTTCCAGGTATTTCCCTTCCTTTTACTTCCCTGCCAGGCACGAATCATTTCTATGGGAAAAAGGAGGATCAGCGAGCCACGTCTTGCTGGACTGATATTGAGCAAGGTTAGGACCTACGGATTGAATGCTGAGCAGGAAACTGAACGCTATTAGCTCAGGTAGAAAGCTTATGAGTAGCATTTTTCTCTTGCTGATGTCTCCTCTCACTATCCCTTCTTCCACTCTGTGTCCCATTGCTCTCTGGGCTTTCAACCCCTCCATTTCACTCCTTCCCCCTCCTCTTCTCCACTAGAGCTCTCCTTCCTACACATTTGGCTCCAGCCATTCCCGTCTGTCTCCCACCCAAACACAAAGCATGATTCAGCTCTCGGCTTTCCTGGCGCACATGCACACACGCATAAATATTAATAGAAATTAGAGAATATGAGTATCATTTGGGGTTGGAAGGCACCTCCACTTAATCATCCCGTCCATCCTGCCACACTCAGGTTTCCATCATCCCTACACCAGCATTAGTAGATAGGTATCTGGTCTCCCCAGGGGTAGCATTTCCCTCATCCCACTTGGCAGCCTGTTCAAGAGCTTTGTAGCTGCTGCAGCAAGAGAAGTTTTCCTAATGTTTATTCTGGGTTTCCCCCTGCTGCTGCCTAAGCCCATTACTCCTTGTTTAGCGCAGTACTCAGGGATTTAACCACACGATCCCCCCACTAATGTTATTAGCGGCTATAAAACTAAATCACCAGGGGCTCTGTTGAAAAGATATACCCTGCTCTGCCTGTCACATTGGTGGCATCAACCCTTCATTGCCTCACACAGCCGTCAGCCACTCTCTGCAGCGCAGCAAGGAGACACACGCCACGTGGCCCGCTGCGCCCATGCGGCGGCACCACCTGCCTCCTCCCAGAGCCGAGAAGGGGCTCTGCCGCAGACATCCTCCGCGCAAACCTCGAGTCAGGCGAGCCCAACCCATGCTTACAGCTCTGCCCCCAGTGGGCTTCAGGTCAGAGCCTGGAGCCGGGCACGGGCTGCAAATAGGAGGTCCAAGAGGGCAGGACCTGGTGGCTTCACCTCCTCTCTCACATACTTTCACAGCCCAGCTTGGTCAGGGAAGGCAGGGAGGAAGACGGTGCACCAAGAGCACAGCTCTCGGTCAGCAGTCACCTGTCCTGCTGGTGGTTTCCAAGGGCCCACGCAACTCATCGCACGGGCTCAGAAAATCTGTTCCGCGATCACATCTACGAATCCTGCCTTTGGCGACGGCACCGCATCGGTGCTGCCATGCACCAGTTTGCCCTCACCTCCTGAAGGCCAGGGCAAGACTCTTCTGAACTGATGTTCAGGTCTGCAGAGCGACCCTCCGCCTTTGCCTCCCCACCACGCGGCTCTGCCCACCGCTCTCACAGGCCGGGGAGATCAGCTGCCATTAACGTGACTCTACACGCGCACAGGAGAAGAGCTGAGAAAAACCTCTTACCAGATTAGTGAAGATATACGTGTAATAGGCAGACGCCATTCCCAGTTCAGCTGCCTGTGAAGGAGAGGAAAGGAGATTAGACCCGAGACTGACAATCTTCAATCTTGCTTCCTGCAAGGCGGAGACTGGGCCGCGTTTGCTTTTCCATCCTTATCACACCACACAAATGCTGCTGTCTTCTTACAAGCAGGGAAGGGTGGGACACAGCAACACAATTTGACCTGTGAAATTAAAGTCCTGGGAACCCACTTCTGAAGTCCCTTGTCCACGACAGTACTGACAAAGCACCTGCACAGGAAGCAGGGCTTCACGGTACAGAAAAAGAGCACAGCAGTGCCCTGAACTTGCATTTCCAGGCCCTTGTGCTGAGCTCGTCTAACCCCGTGGCACATTTCAAGACAGCGATCAGCAGTTTCTGCATTCGGCCCCATCTAGCAGGTGCATCTGCAGCCAAAGAGAAGAACGTGGAAGAAAGAAGCCTACTAAAAGTAAAAGCTTTTGGTACCCCTCACAGCAGTGGCTCGTCCAGACCCCAGCAAGACGAGGTGGCATCCTGAAGCCCAAGTTCAAGGGGAAAGCGATCTCCAGAGATCTTGCCCTCCAGGGATGAAGGGTTCCGGTTTTACTATGCGCTGTGAGGAAAGTGAGGTTACATGAGGTTTACTTGTCTGTTGATTGGTATAATTTTGTCTCCTATTCAAATATCAAACTCTTTGTGAGCCCACTGAGAAAAAGTAGGGGTCAAAAGGGCTCAACGCTTGGCTCCCTTCACTACAAACACTGGGATGCAGGGAGCAAGGACAAAAAAGCTCTTTTGGAGTTACAGGAAAGGGATGGTCATCTCAGCGGTGGTTTTCCCACATGCATCAGTCAAATGGGGGCCTCAGTCCTGCAAATTGACTAGCGTGAATGAAACCTAGGAACTCAAACAGTTCTCCAGAATTTAGACAGGGTTTTGATGGCTACAGAAATAGAAAGGAAAACGGTAAAAGTGCATGGAGACGCAAAGAGAAGGACAGCTTAAGCAAATAGATTTTTCTGTGAGATCATCCGTTCTGGAGACTAAAGACCACATCACTGAAGTTTTTTCCAAAATCTAAAATTCTCAGTACACAAAGAGATGGTTGTGGGAACAGATGCTCAGGAAAGTGGGGGATTAATCTGCAAATCTTTCTGAAATCAGGAGCCTGTGTTTCACTGCCAAGCACAGTTGGTCTCAAACCATGCTTCTGGACCTTGGCGGAGAGGGCTTCAGATCATCTCAGACCATTTAGAGATACTGGAGGTGGGAGGAGGGACCAAGGGGAACAGCTCCTCTTTTCCCTTTTTCTCCCTTTCCATCTCCCCCACTAGCTGAAGGATGGTGACAGCAGAAAGTGAGTGAAGGAAACAGATATAGAAAAGAGAAGGCTTAGATTGTACCTTTACCTATTCCTGTGTACTTAACTTTACCTATCTCCATGCGATTAAATGAGGTGGGCGCTGCGCTGGAGGGATACGATACGTTCAGAGGGGATCTACAAGCATTTCTGCTCCTCCCCAGCACCCTGTCCCCTCGGTGATGGACCTCTCGCTCACACCGCGGAGGATGGCTTTGCCCAGTCCGCCGCTTCCATCAGGCGCATATAATGTTAATTAACAAAAAAAACAGACAGCATCTGCTCAATGAGTCATAGCTGAGATGGCACATCCTACTGATGGGAAGAAAAGGGGCATTTATATGTTTGTGAGGACCATCACCTGAGAAGGGAGAGACCGGTGAGGGCAAAATAAGAGGGAGGAGTGAGAGATGAGCAGCAACACCACCAATTTGCCTGTGCCATGCTGGATGGGGTCATCTAAATGCTCACCGCCACTGTGCCTGGCGAGGTCGCCGTGCCGGCCAGCTCGGAGGGAGCTGGACACAGGCAGCATGGCAAGCTTTGGCCGCCCGCGCCTGCAGAGCTGCACAGCCCTTCTGATGCACATTGCTGCCCTCTCCCCTGCGCAGGCGGCAAATGGGAACAGCAAAATGATTTGATCAAAAAAGCACGGCAACTCCATGTAGGAGAGAGCAGGCTAGCGAGGAGCCTCTGCAGCCTCCCAGCCAGCTTTCCAGGCTGCTCCCTCGCCTCTAAACCACCACGCGATAAAATCTGGCACCCAGGTCCCTCCCTTCTGGGGGACAGCGATAATGCCTGCTCTCCCTCTGACCTACTTTGAAGTCCGTGCATTTGATTTCAAGGGCAGAAAATCAAAGCGAGCAACAAAGCATCTTTCTCCGTCCGTCGCTCCCAGCCACTTAACACAGCCGTTGGCAGGTGGGAAGCCAGGACAGGCTGGTAATCTGGGAGGCAACCATGTGTCTCGAGACCATATGGGGAGGGCGAGAGATGAGAAATTGCAATTTCCCTCACTGTCCAAGGCCAGGAAAGGTCTGCTAATACAGGTGGGACCAAAGGCACATTCAAATCAATGGCATATTTTCCTCACCTTTCCTTGCCCAACCTTTGGACTGGGGCTGAGGACTTTCCACCCCCCCCCCCCCCCCCCCAGCTCTGCTGGCCTCTCTATAAAGACAATACTTTCCAGGTTCCCCAGGTGCAAGAAGTTCCTAGATAATAAGCTAATTGTTTATTTTCTGCCCCCTCCTGCAATCCTTTAGGCAGGAAGACTACATTAAATTTTCCAGATCTGACGGAATATCTTGGCGATCTTCGACATCTTTATCGGTCGTGGCACCAGCACACTTCGGAGCGGGGAAGGGAGACCGCGTGTGCCACAAGAGCCGCCACTGTGCGACTGTGGCAAGTCACCACGGAAAC